GATTTTAGATTCCTCATTTAGGGAATGAGTACCTCTCTTACTGGCTTGACTACACTCTCTTTCTCTCTATGTACACATTAGGTCCTTTTTCCATGAAAAAATCTCTCTCTCTCTCTCTCTCTCTCTCTCTCTCTCTCACACACACACACACACATTCACACACAAAATGGCTTGTGTTCTTGTTCACTTTCCTGTAATGTAAGAAACATGGCTAGTTTTACCTTTTTATTGGTGTTCTATACCAATATAAACTAGATGGCCCTTTTTCTAATATTACACATTAATATGATAGTTATATCAATGGAAAAAACTCATTAGCTTGAAGAAAAGAAAAAAGAAAACTCATGTATCTTCATTTTGCGTTTATCCATCATATAAAAACCAAAACTTTAAATAGTTTCTTGAAGTTTCAATTTTACCATAGTTATTAAATGATAATTACTAACAGTATATTTATTAACAACTTGAGAAATTTACACTCTTCTTCTACTTTTCTTAAAGAGAATAATGTGTTTAATGAAACCACAAAATTGTAAGAGCCAACTAATATCTATAACAGTGATTACCTGAATGAGAGCAACAGGAGTCATGTCAATTTCCTTTGGGTCACCATAAATGAGATGATATAGCTCATCAGATGCCAATTTATCAAGATAATCGATATCCTCAAGCCGGAAATTTGCAACACCCTCAACAAAACCGGCGCCCTCTCCAGTGCAAAGCAATCTAAGGCGTCCGTCTTCACCGCTCGTGGTCAATCTCCCGGAGAACTGGTAGTACGGCACTAGGAGCTCAGCTAAGGCCTCCCTGATCTTCTTTGCTGCCTCTTCACCATACTTATAAACATGTATGGTTTTCACCAAGAATCGGAAAGCGGGTTGGCTATCAATTCTCGAGAACTCAAGCACACCGGAGGGCGTATCTCGAGCTGGCCGGACCCAAACCGGGTCCGATTTGGTCACTGAGAAGGTGGCCATGGTGGGGGGAAGGCTTGAGCTAGAGAGTTGAGGCATTGTGTTTGATGGTGATATGTTTCCCATGCATTGCAATTACAGGGTCTTATATAGAGATATTTTTAAGTATATAATATTGCATTATGAAACCTAGACAACTTGCCCTCAATTTAATGTGATATTTTTAAGTATATAATATTGCATTACGAAACCTAGACAACTTGCCCTCAATTTAATGTGATATGTTTTGCTTGCCTGATTCAGCTTGAGTTGTTTTATAATACTTGACAAGTTTTTTCTATCTTTCCTCAATTATTTATTTTAAAGGAAGGAGAGATAAGCACTAGACCTTCACAAAGCTATGAAAACAACCCATTACTATTAAAGGTATATCATGAATGTCCTAATGAATGGGTTAAAATTGGATGAGCTAGTAGGTAATGCAATATTTTTTGCCATGAGTTATTGTTTAAAAAAAAATATTTATTGGCATGAGTTCCCAAGCGGTGGCGTAGAACTTGGTGCATTAGAGATGTGGTCCAAACAGGGTCTTCTTGTCTACTTTCTAAATGACATTCCTTTTGTTGGGACATCATTTGTAAAAAAAAGATGGTTGCTAATGGAAGTAATGCTGGAGCCCTCTAGTTTTGGAGCCTCCTTTTCCCCACTCTTCTTAATATTGTCCTCTTCAAAAGGCTTTCTATTAGATATTAGGGATAGTATTATTTAAGGACAAATTTTATTATGAGGTGGTTCGAAAAGATCTCAATTAATTTTTCATTTTTATTTTACTTAGGCACATTGTCAAAAATTATATTTAAAAATACAAAAATTGTCTCTATTCAAGGTGAATCTTGAGCTACTACGGACAATTCAGTAATTTGACCTAATCAAGCAAGGGTGCTCTCATCATTTGAATAGGGCCTCTTCAAATTACTAAATAAATGCCTTTGCTTGTTCAATGTTCCTAACTATGAAGAATGACTATTTGTTATTTTTTAAGATACTTTTTGAGATGGTACTCGAGTTAAACGAAAATTTAAAAATAACGCATATAGTATTAACGGGGATGTTTAACTCTCAAATGATTTTATAAGGGGTTTCACCACAAAATAGTGACACTAAGTTACACATTTTAGTGTTTAAACCAGTGTTTTAAAAGACCGTGAGTCAAAACGGATTCGCCGAGTCGACACGGGAATCGATCATCCCGTGTCGATTCCACTGTGCGCAGAGTCACCCGGTTCTAGAGAAGAACTGCTGAGTCACTATAGTGAACCACCGAGTCGCTACATTGAATCGTCAAGTTGTAGTCACGGGTCGCCTGACGTCACAGAACGATCTTCCGTAATATTTTGAATGTCAATATAATTAGTTTTATATACATTAAAATTATTTTAAATTATATGGAAGTGTTTTCTAATATTTTTTAATTATTTTGATGTAATATTACAATTCTATATTATAATTAATAGCATACAGATGTCACATCTAAATATTCGCATATTCATCCAAAAAAATGAAAGTTCTTAATGGAGCCTCATCATTTCTTATTGGATTCCTAATAAGAATTTTAATATTTTTTTTGGATTTTTTAAGACTGAATCTGACCGATTCTGTCGATTCCCGATTCGAATCACCGATTCACCGATCAGGATGGGTTTTTGGGGTGCCCGATCCAGGGCACCAATCTGGTTTTTTAACCAATGGTTTAAGCCCTTGATTTTAACATGTGGTCCTTCATCCAAAACATCATGTTTCAAGGATTTATTTAACACAACCATTTGATCTTCTTTATTCCCCTCTAAGATCAGACTAAAGAAGTTGATTTGGAGCTCAAAAAACGCCACATGTCGATTCTAACTCTATGATTGGATTATTGATGAGACAATGAGATCTACAAAAACAAGCTTATGGCAAAAGTAATCAGGGTGGCAGACATAGCATCTTGAGTTCTATTTTTATCACGTCCTGATTTAAAATATTTTTTTTTTTTTAAAATAATAATATGAGATCTAAGGCTTTCATATCTTAATCTTTCGTTTTTTTTTCTATTTTAGAAGTTGACTGCAAAGTAAATCAAAGATGTTTTCTAAAACTTTTGATCACAACACAAAAATCAAAGATCTTCTCTGAAACTTTCAAGTCATAAAATTCCCCAAACTACATGTTTTGCACTTAAAACCTTATGCACTAGGAGTACCGAATACACGCCCTCTGAAAGAGTATGTTAATTTAGAATGTTTTATTGTTTCTCTTCAAAGTAAAGCCATCTTTCAATAATGATAATATTGATAGTACTAATAATATGGAATAGCCCCTAGGCTTCCCGATCAAGGTAAGAGGAGCCATAACATGATATTGACATCTAGAGATTCATTTCATCAAGCTGGTAAACTGACGATAAAAAATAAAATAATGGAAATTTTTTTTAAAAAAAGGTTAGGTTTGTATGAGGTGTCAACCGTATACTATTGAAGTAAGATATGTCTAAAATTATGTCAAAAATGTAGTTTCGGTACCGCAAAGCTTTGGAATGATATAAAAATCTATTGTTTCCCCCAATTATTAAATTTAAAGTTTTAAAAATGGTGACAATCAAGCCGATCTATAAACACTTGAAAATCTTGATAATGGACAGTCTCGATAATGTCTTAATAGTGAACTATTTTTAGGAGTAGAAATCCCCCTTTTTTCCATATCTATGAATCTCGAGGTCGAGATGACTAAGTTGGGGGTTTTCCAGTATAGAAGCAACCTGGTTCGGTGGGTTTTTTAGGTACATCTTACTTGTACTAAGGTTAACACCTTATATAAATTTTTTGCAATAAAAAAAAGTCCTTCTATAAATAAAAGAAAAGTGAAAAGTGAAAAAGAAAGGCAAGTAAATGGACAAGGACATTTATAGATATTTAGGTGAGAAGGTGGAGGTACTCACATGAATGCGGAGGAGCCACTGCATTGTTTTTTTAGCCTTTTGACAAACTCATTGTTCATTATTGAGCCTTTGATATATAAAACATTAGAGAGGGTTAGGTGATAGGCCCAAACGTGAGACGTGCGGGTGAACCAGTCACAAGATTCAAAAATTCTATGTATCCTCACAATTTTTAAATGCCAGACAGAGTCAACGCCCTAACCAACCCCAGTTGGTGACAGAGTATATCCACCGATATAAATTTTATCCTAAATTTTAAATTACGTGGTATAGGTTTTACGAAAACAAAATTATGGAAAGCACTTTCAGCAATGGAAATATGCATGATGGCTCTAAAATCAAATTTTAACACCGGCAATGAAATTCGAAACTAAAAAATGGGTACTGATCTTGTGGATCTATGAACACTTAAGTTTAAAGTGAAATAGACGGGCTAGAAAATTTGTTTCAATATACACATTTTTAGAGTTTAAAATCAAGCCAAGATGAACAATATAAATGTTTTTCTATGCTTGACTTATAATTTTTGATGGATTATGAGGTGAGACTTTACTGATTTTGATAGGGCTATAGCCATATCAAACCATTTTCCAATTTTAAATACTCTCTCCAAATAATTCTCTCTTGTAAATTCTCTCTCTACCGTCATTCAATCTAATTTGGATTGGAAGGAGTCATTATGTGGATCAGTCTAATTCATTTATGGTTCTAAGGGGCAATGTTATTGCATTGGATATACAACGATGAGGGTTTGGGGTTTGGTTCAGTCAAAATCAGTCTGTTGTTCGTTGAATTGATTCTACTAAATTTTTAAAAATAAAAAAATAAATATAATGACATAAAAATATAAAAATATTAAATATATAGTTGTCAAAATTAAGAGCAAAACTGGTCTTTGCTTTAGATTGGCCAAGTCACTGATCCAATCCGATCTTGGGAGTATATAAAAATGGGAAATTGTTAATAATATTCATTAAATTTTAAAAAATGAAAACCTTTTTTTTTTTCCTTCAAATTTATGTGTACGCCCAATTTTTCCACTTATTTTTAATCTCTTAAACAATATTCACAGGCCTAATAGATCTGCACAAACTTTTTTTTTTCTATCTCCTTTACGGATCTGGTAGGCCCATAACGGTCTTCACAAACCTAATAGGGCTGTAAATACCCCAGCAAGTGTCTACTACAGTTGGGGCCTTTACGGGCTTAGGTAAAAGCCGGGCCTTTGCAGCCCTACTAAGCCCATAAATTTCCTATGTAGAGACCAGAATCAATGTAGTTCTATTGGACTTTGTGCCATGTGCAATCTCGCTTATGACCAAAATATTGGAGGTTGTGCATTATACAACCTCTTCGGTTGTTCAATAAACATTTTAAAGTAGTTAAAATATATTTTTATGAAAAGTAGAAGTTAAAAGAGCAAATATCTACCTTAAAAAGATATTTTTTTTATGAAAAGTAGAAGTTAAAAGAGCAAATATCTACTTTAAAAAGATAATTTTTTTATGAAAGGCAGAAGTTAAAAGAGCAAATAAGAATTGATGAGTAGAAAATGGTCATGCAGAACGGATCATGAAAAATAGAAAGAGGACCTATAAGAAATATCAGGTGCTTTGGGACCTTTATGGACCTAATAAGTTGGTAAGCATTTTAAAGTATGGACACTCAATAAACATTTTAAAGTATAAGAAATGATATATGTTTTCTCTTAGAGCACTCGAAAAACATTTTAAAGTAGTTAAAAGACATCTTTATTAAAAATAGATGTTAAAGGCTTTAAGAAAGCAAATAAGATCTGAAGAGTAGAAAATGGTCTTGCAAAAGACAAAGAACAAACCATGACGAATAGGAATCGGGCTTGGGTCGGGTCGAGGCGGTACATTTGTTTTTTGAAAAACAGGATTTTAGAATCGACGTTTTCCAAAGAAGTGGATATTGTCCACTTTAACGTATCCGTTCTTGTATAGCACTTCCCCATTATCGAACAGGGAAGTGCTACCATTATGGAGGACGAGGTTTTCCAAAACAACAAATGGGTTTTTAGGATTTTTCATTTTAAGAGAGTTGAGTTTTGAAATCTTATTTCTAGTTTAACCTGTGCATGGCCATTTGAGCCTGACTTATACACTTTCTCTTTAATTTTCCAACCATTAGGTTATTTGATTTTCTTCTATGTCAG